ATTTATATATATATATATAATCATAAATTTGTTTAACATGATGATAAAATATACCCATGATGTAAAATCGGTAAAACAAGACATCACTTGTTTTACTACATTTCTCACTCTTGCAAGCATCCATAAGCTAAAATAAATTTAAGGTGTACAAGTCTCTGAAGATTAAAGCAAGTCTACATTTAGACATTATTATCACAACTATATTTTGGAATAGAACGATGTACCACTATGAAGGTTATAAGGTCATTAATGAAGATGTTAAAAGTAGTAAATGGCGTCAAGAAATCTACAATAAGTTATATTTATGAAATACTAGCCAAAGTGAAGGATACAATTAATAGTGTTTGGAAGAGATGTAAAACTATACAAGTCTTTCGTATCATTGACAAAAGCTAGATATTATCTTAATCCATTTACAAGAATAAATTTATGATAGAATCAAAAGGGTAATTAATGGAAGACATATAATTATTGGCAGGTTAATGGAAAACCTAACTAATAGAATAGTTATAAATCAAGAATTCTATTTATAATCATACTAATAAATTATTCACAATTAACTTTGACATCTGCAATAGAAATAATGAAATCTCCATATATATATATATATCTGTGTGTGTGTGTGTGTCTTTGTGTCTGTTTGTTCATGTGTGTGTGTCTATTTCTTTGTGTCTGTTTATCTACTAAGCCCAAGTACTTAAAACTTAATGATTAATTTTAATTGAAAGTTCTGTCTCATTTTAATACAAAAGAATAGAGAAAATTGTAATGGTGCATCAACCCCAACTTTATAAAATTTAAGCATTAAAATGTGAGTAGAATTAGAGCATCTTTGAAAATGAATAAGTTATTAATTTTGCATATAATTACATATTTTATGTAATTTATTACAATTATTTCTACAGATTCACAAAATATAGAAAAATCTATTAAACCAAGCTTGTATAAATCAATTTGTGTTCATTGCGTACAACTAAACTTTGAAAAAAAAAAATCAATTTGAGAGATTTTAATAGTCCAATTAGTTTTAACTCTATTGATCAAACTTGAGAGTGACAAATTAAAGAAACAGAGATTGTTTGTGAGCAAGATGAATATCCAAATTGGAGATAAATTGAAGATGTATCACGAAGAGATAATCGAACATGATTTATATAATTTAATAATTCAAGAACAAAAGAAAGTTCATTCAAATGAAGAACAATTAAACTCAACAAGCTTCCACTTTTATCGTTCGAGACAGAGAAAATGAGATTGGCTTACAAAGATAAGAAAAACAACAAGCATTTATCCCACTAAGTGGGGTCGGCTACCTGATGCCTTTTTCTCCATTGCGTCCTATTGAGTGCCATATTTTCATTTAATTCTAATAAACTAAAATCATTTTTTTTATACAATATGCCCAAGTCATTCTAGGTCTACCAAGACAATCGACATGATTTATATAATTTAATAAGTAAAAACAATAGAATATTCATTCAAATGAAGAACAATTAATCTCAACAAGCTTCCACTTCTGTCATTCAAGACATAGAAGATGAGATTGACTACAAAGAGAACAACAACAGCAACAAGCCATTATCCCACTAAGTAGGGTCGGCTACATGAATCCTTTCATATTTTCATTTAATTCTCAGAGATTATGATCATTTTTATACAATATGCACAAGTTTTTTTAAATCTACCTCTGCTTTTCTTTAGCATAACAAGCCTCTACTCTCCTAACAAGGTCATCAGATGGTCGACATTTAATGAGAACAAACCATCTAAGACGACTTTCTCTATAAAAAATACAAACATAATTTATGCATTCTGAAACTAAAAATTTTTAAATTGGAAATTTACATGGCTCCCCAAAACAAAAATTAAGCCAAGAATAACACAAATTTATAAATTTATTTTGTGTTTATGTAAGTCGGCTTACAAAGAGGAGATAAAGAAAATTATGATGATAATTTTGACAATAAACAAATTTTATTTGAAGGAATAAGGGATTATATGAATGGAAAAAAAAAGGATGATAACTAATAAATTTTCTTTAACTTGCTTTATGAAACTTGAGATATTTAGCAATTAAATTTTCATTTTACTATGAATTAAATATATTTTTATACACTCTTTTAAGTTCTTAATTATTACATTAAACTACTACATTACTTTAAAACTTTTAATCATTTGTTAATTCATGCATATAATAAAAATTGTTGGAAATTTGATTTTGCAAGCTCACTTTCAAAATTATCTTAAAATATAAAGGTTACAGCTTTTTAAAGTTTATACATCATTTCCTAAACACTCCAGGTTTGTTACTGAATGTATCAACGTATTAGTTGAAAATCATTAATTGTTTTAGTCTTGTGCATTGAAAAAAAAAAAGTTTATGCATCACATTGTCTTTTGCTCTTTGAAAAAGAGCATAAGTAATAAAAACATCGCATTGGTTTGCCTTGTGCATTGAAAAAAAAAACGTTTATGCATCACATTGTGTTTTGCTCTTTGAAAATACTTTTTTTTTTCACTCAGGTGCATTGAAAAAAAAAAAGTTTATGCATCACATTGTCTTTTGCTCTTTGAAAATACTTTTTTTTTTCACTCAGAATTTATTTTAATGATAATCATCATAATATATCATAAAACAAGTAGCCATTGTAAGTTTCTAATTTCAACTTCAAATTTCTTCTCTCTAAAACATATCTTAGCAAATTAAAAACTCTTACCCTTTTAAGCTCCATCATTTCAACCTAAGAAAATTTCTTTTTTTATTACTTGTATCACAAAAAAATGCATATATGCATCCACAACTAGTAACATATATCATGAGGTCAAAATTCTCTAGGAGTCACATAAAACCTTTTATGCAAGAAAAAAACAAACTTTCGAGTGAAATAAAGTCTATTGAGAATTTAACATCTCCACTTTGAAGCAACAAAGCATTGTTCATATTTCTTAAATCATATTGTCACCACTGCAAGATCAAATATTAACACAAAATTAATGTCAACATCCATCATAGCATTTCAATTTCTTATTCCACTAGGAATCCTCTCATAACTAACTGCACAAGAACTTACAGGTTCATTTAAGCCACCACCAATAATTATCTTATCATTTTTAGATATATAAAAAGTGAGCCTAGAGCAATTCTTATGTGACCTCCATTATGACCTACATTTCATGAGTTTTAATCACAAAATGGCTTCTATGGAATGCAAAAGATAAGGGTTTGATTATTAATGGTCTCCATCTCAACATTGGGAATAGTTTCATATCTTGTGCCACCGTTGAAGTATTGTTCCAATAATCCATAAATTATTCAAATGGTTTCAACTTCATTAACTAACTAAAGAACATAAATAATGCTCTCCCATTAGTCTTGAAATCTCCATCTCCATTCACTCCCTCTTCATAAAATATTTGAAAATGGCAAGCACAAAATCTTTTTGTACTATTTTAGAGATGTTATTTTGGTCCAACATTTTTTTTTTCGTATGATCATCCCACTTTCATTCTATTTTCCATATTGAGATGCATTTTTATCCTTTGTACTGCATGTAGAAATGTATTCCACAATCTTATACACGTGTTTGCTACTATTCTTGTCTTAACAACGTGATCAATTGCTATCTACACTTCATCATTTTAACACACACATCTTTGCATCCAAACATACAAATAAATATTTCTGCTTTCACACCACTGATCTTGGTGTTGAGTAACTTTTTCATTACCTAACCCATAGATCCAAAAAGAATATAAATTTAAGGAAATTTTATCAATAAGAATTTTAAATCCACATAATATTCTCTTTTCACATAATACATCGAAGGCATCTCTGTCTTTATAAACTAAAAACCGAGCTTTAACTCCAGATAGTATAACAATATTAATACCATATTTTTGATATAGTTAGATTCATCATACTTAACCATATCACATCCACAGGTGTCAATTAATCTTAAAGTAGTATTAATGGATAATAAATTCCAAAACTAATAATACTGCATGTAGTGCACTCTAATCCAATTTTAAAATTCTATGTATCTCCTAAAATCCCATAAAAATCTTCTAAATTTGACATGATGTTTAGTTTAATATTAGATTAGGCTCCTCTTCAAACATTCTAACTTACCTCTTCATAAACAAAAGTTGAGGATCAATACAATTTTTTTCTTGGTTTTAGGTATTAGATTAATTAACTAAATATCATCTTTATTAACCCTATTCGCCTCAATGAAGTTATATAAGCCTTCTTCAATAAGCTAATATCTACATTTCATGTAAACCTTCCAATAAGAAATAACTAATGATTTTTCTCATTGGTTTTTAAAATTTTCCTTTTTACTTAAATCTTAGCAAACAATTTAGATTTTTTGTTCAAATAGCTCAAATAAAAAACATACATGAAAGTAGAGCAGACAGTATACCTCTAATTCTGTTGCTGAGTTGTACTTATTGAAATTAAGAGGTTCCTCCATGCTAGATTTTCCAGAGACTTGAGCAGCCAGTTCATCACTCACGTCAGGATTTGTCTGGCTGTGCAACTCTGGTTTCAGCTCATCTTCTTTAGGCTCTTTTGCTGCAATGAAAATAGCATCATTCTGAGCAGTAGATTCAGGAACAATGATAGATTCAGACTCGGATGAACCATCTGAGCCAAAATCATTCTCCCAATTTGGAGGACTTTGATCCACTACTGGAAATATGACATCACAATTTTCATTTAACCCCTCCTCTGGAGATACCTCTGGATGACTCTGCTCTGAAACATTCTCTGAAGACCCTTCATCAAGTAAACGTCCATTTGCTTGCTCCAAATTACTCTGGCCTGAAGAACCACTGGATAACTCTCCATCAGAACTAACACAAGAACCAACAACCATTAATGAAAACTCGTTGGTTTCCTTTTTTTGCCTCAGAAAATGTCCATCATCAAGCACAACAGATTTATCTTCAGTTTTATCATTATCGTCATCATTATCACTTTCATCATCATCTTCACTGCAACTCTCGTCTATTTTGTTCTTTCCCAGCCTAAAAATACATCAATAAATTGTACAAAAAGGTTATACAGTAAGCTGAAATAAAAAATAAGAATTTAGCTTCTGACTTGTAATAAGAACAATTAAACATCACAGCACAGGCCCGCCGGCACGTTCCGAAGCAGTCGGAAAGAAAACCGAGACTTTAATAAATCGAAAACATACCATATCTTAAATCGTTTGGAGGACAGATCGGATGACGGGCAGATCTTCCTCTTCAAATCCTTGTACACATCAAAGGACCGACGAACAGATTCTTCCACTTCTTCCATGCACTTGGCCGAATCCTCCCGGTACTTCTCCAGGTATTTGTCGACATCAACCGAGGAATTCTTCTTCGTTTCTTTCGCCTTCTTCTTCAAAAACTGCTCCGCCAGCTTCTCTAGCCTTCTATCATCCGCCTCTGCCTTCCATTCCTCGAGCTTCTTCTCCGCATTGACGTGACGGAGACGGCGGCCGCTCATGTCCCTGCAGGCGTCGAAGTTATTGGTTTTCTTCTGTCCGGCCTTAGTAGCCGCTCCACGCAGCAGCGACCCAAAGCCACCCTTGCCACCAGGAAGGCGGAGAAGAAGACCGCAAGAGGGGAAAAAGCCATCAGAGGAGGCTGAGATTAGGGTTTCGTCGGAGACGATCCTAGATCCGGTGATAAGTAGCTGTAAACGATAAGGAATTCTAGTTTTCGCGAAGAGATGTCTCTTTAGGGTTTCGCCGGAAATTGTCGGGGAAGAGATCTGGAGGCATTGAGTCCGGCCATCGAGAAGTTTGACGAAGATCTGATAGATCGCCATGCGAAAATGTCCGTGCAGATATCCCGCTGGCTATACGGTGATATTTATGGGAGTTTTTTTATTTTATTTATTTTTTTAGGCTAAGAATTTACTTTCATACCCATTTTTAGGCATTTACATACATACCACCTAAAACTTATTATTTACAAAAAACCATTATATTCCTTTTTCTTTTTTTTTTTTGGGGAGTTTTTTTATTTTATTTATTTTCTTAGGTTAAGAATTTACTTTCATACCCATTTTTAGGCAATTACATACAGACCACCTAAAATTTATTATTTACAAATCAACCATTATATTCCATTCATTTTTATTTTTTATTTTTTGAATTCTGCTCAAATAACAATATTCATTATAAAATGTGTGATTTAAAAAATTGGACCAAACTAACTGATATGACCGTGAACAAGCCAGTTGTCTAAATTTAGGGGGTTAAAATGTCCAATGCATTGGACCAGTTGGAGCTGGCATGAACCGTCGGTCCAAATTAAAACCGACGAACTCGTTATAAAATGTGTGGTTTAAAAAATTGGACCAAACTAACTGGTATGACCGTGAACAAGCCAGTTGTCCCAATTTAGGGGGTTAAAATGCTCAATGCATTGGACCAGTTGGAGCCGGCATGAACCGTCGGTCCAAATTAAAACCGACGAACAGGCCAGGATTCGATTGAGCAACCGGTTCTCTTTATTAATGGGATTCCATATCCCGTTCATTTATTTAATAAGAGATGGCCTTTTTTTTTTAATATTAAAAATTATTTTAAGAATAATGCTAGCTGCTCTTTTGAAGAGAATTTGATGACTTTATGATAGATGCACTCAAAATTATTTTATTTATTTAGTTGTATTTTTACATTTATATTATTATGGTAGTATAAAATCATTTAAATTATATTTAATTAATTTTTATATTGTTCAACCTCTAATTCAACTCCTGTCAAATCAATGAACCTTGAATATTTTCTTATTTCGGTGAGATGTCCGGTCTATTTTTCGCAAGTTTGAACTAAAACGCTAACCGATATTTTTCAATTTTATCAAATTCTCAATAAATTGATCGTGTAAATACATCGATTTGATAGTAAATAAAAAACTATTTGGATAATTAATTTGTAAACATCAATTTTTCGGGTGGTTTGTATGTAATTACCCTTTTTGTTATATTTACATATATTAAATAATGTGTTTGTATTTTATGTATTTAGGATCCAAATTATGTTATTTGCACATAAGTTTTTCTTTGTATTTGATTTGACATATTCGATGTGCAAGCTATGTCACCCATGGCACCACCTCAAAATGGCATATGTCTTGAGCTTTGCATTTTCATTTCCGCATTTTCTGTCACATTCTTCAAGGGTATATGCCACCATATACTTATGGGGAATGTTAGCAATTTTATGAACGTTCCTATCTCGCTAGAGCGGACAAGGTGTACCGGATCATTTCATTTGCATGTGCATTTCTTGTTGTTTCGATGAAAAAACTAGCTCATTAGTAAACCGTTTTGGTCACGATATGTTATTGAGTATTGTCCATGAGGACGCCGCGGTGGACATATCAATTATTGCATTGTAACTAGCACGCATATGTTGTGTTAAGGTTCCAATGGGTCTAAGAGGTGCCACTTAGGCTTTTCCTTCTTAGGACATATTTTAATAGTAAAAAATTTACATTTTTTATTACTTATGTATCATATTTTTCAAATTAATTTTAAAACTATTGCATATAATTTAGAACATTCATAAGGTCGATCCTTTAAAGTTCTTTTTATAAAACTCACATCTAGTGATATCTCTTAGAATCTTTGGATCTTTAGGATGGGGTCGAGCATACACTAGCCTTTTACCTTCAAACTGCACTCACTTAGATTTATTGACTAAGACACTATACATTATATGGTATGCTAGGCTAGAACTAGGGTGTGACGTACTTTTTTTTAATATTCTGGTTATTGTCCTCTGTTTGTTTGGTTACCCTATACGAGAATCACTTTTCTGTGCTTTTTGTATGTTTATTGGGGTGTAAGATGTGTACTAGTATGTTAGGAGTGGTCTTCTCACTGGGAGTTATGTCCAACAAGAAGAAGCTGCAATGATTCATACTAATGTATTTTGTGTAGGTGTTTATTAAGTCTCCTCCCACCAAGCATGGTTCACTAAGTTGCATACCTATAGCATGTATTAACCCCGTTGTTTTACAAGTCGAGTCTATTTTTACTTTAACTATATATTTTTTAGAGCCCCTGAGATTAAGTCCTATATTAGAAATAAGATACAAACATGCATTCTAGGCCCCATGCGGATTAAACCACGTGACGAGGACCATGAGCTGTTTGCTCGTGTCTCGTACCTTGATTCTAAATCTTTTGATGTGTAGAATTAGGACAATGTTTGTATATGAGGTGTCTGGTCGCATTTTTCTTTTTTAGAATATTGTCAACCCAACAGCACCCGACCTGTGCTTATTCTTTTATGTTTGGTTTGTTTCTCTTTATTTTGTTGTGTGTTTTCTAGTTATTCCCTTTTTCGCTTGTGACTTGTTTGGGAATCAAGCGTTCTGACTTGAGCTCTCTAAGAACCTAAAAGTATAAATTTTCTACAAAAATTCTAATAAAATATTAAGACTAATTAAAATTTAGGGTTAAAATATTTTAAGATTTTTTAAAATTCGTCTTTACTTTTCTACGTTGCCTTCGGTTCAGATTTTGAATACGTTGCATATCATTAAAGTATCCCTAGTCATACTAATAGGGCATTCTTAAGACGTGTGTAGATAATTGCATCATATTGTATGTCCTGAGGAGAAGTCTCTGTGCTTCTTCAACTTGACTGACTTAATATAGATTTCTACTTAGGTGGTTGTTTACGTTTAGGGTGTTAGAGGCTTCCCCAATCTAGATAAGGAGTAAGTCCTTGTGCAAGCGTCTCGGCTTCGTAGTCGTACATCTCTTCTCTTTTCACTCTAACGACTTCCTCATTATTTTGGCAAGTATAAGTCCAACCTCTACTCTTTTTACCTACATAAGGTCATTGGATTTAGAGTTTCCTTCTCTTAAATTTCCACTTGAACGATACAATTCACTGATTGCTAACAAGGGATCTCATGTTGTGTTGGTTTGACTACCTTCACGACCAGGTAGACCAAGGTCCTAATAGCTTGGGATGATAGATTTGTGGTATCCAAACCCAGTTATCTCTACCCAATAAGTCTTACTCTACCCTTATTTTGTTTACCCACTTTGAGCATATCGCTCTTTTGATGCTTCAACGATGTCGTCTCATAGACCTCGATTATGGATAGGTTGATGTCCATTTGGGATACGGTGATTCACTCTTTATCTTTATGACCCAAGTAGGCCTTGGAAGCATAGTGTGGAACCTAAATGATGGATCGATTATTTCATAGGCCATGTTTGTTGATGAGTCATTACCCATTTAGAATCATTCTCTGTCTTGTGGCTTAGCGACAACTTCGAATGCATCGGGACACTCCTATGATATAACCATCCTTTGTGACACTCTCTCACTGATCGTCATTTGAATATAAGTAGGACTCCTCTCATCGAGAATTTTCTTTGGCATCCCCCATGATGTAATTAACTAAAAGGGATACGTCCCTTTGGGAGTTGATCTTGACCCCAAAACAAAAAATGTTCTTTTAGTTCTCTAATTACTTAGGTATAATTATGTCAGTATTCTTTTATAGATATTCGGTTCAAGGTGTCCCGGTCCAATTCTGTTGGATGGACACCCTTAACCTATCATATGAGGTTTACCTCACAAAAGCTCTTCAAGCTATTTCTTCAATTTATCTACCTAGTCTTCATCTTAATTCCTTTTTTTCAGATACTTCTTCTACTCTAAATCATTTATATGATTTATGTAAGAGGGTCGATTGGAAAAGGGAATCTTAGGATGAAGATTTGACTGGCTAGCGACTCCAAGTTACAGAAAGAATTGAAACACATGATTTTACTCCCTTTCGAGGGCACCACCAACACCTTTAATTAGCTTGTCAGACTATTCATAGAACAATTCATAGAACAGAGAAGAACCATCAAAGATTTATCCCACATATTAGGAGTTCGTCAGGATGAGGGGAAATCCCCCAAGAAATACTTCCACAGGTTCTCCACCGAAGCCTGCCAAATTCTGGGAGTGGATCTAGAGTGACCGAGAGGAGTCTTCCCTGGAGGGCTCCGCCCAGGTCCTTTCTACTCACCACTGATGCGAGAGACAATTCGTTCTTACTTCAATCTTGTCCATAGTGTCAAAGTTTAAAACTCACATAAGGAACAATTCGAGTGATTGGTGGCAAGCACAAGAATAATATCGGGGATACCGATAAAACCTCACAAAAAGAAAAAGTTCAAACTATAGGGGAATTATGAGCCTCAATTAGAAAAAAAAATACATGTTATTCAACATGTCACATTTCTACATACTAATGAGCATCGAGGAGGAAGAGGTTGTCAAGAAATCCAAATGGTGGGGACCAATCTCAATATTTTCATTTCCATTAAGTGAAAGTGCATTCAACAGAAAGATGTTTTTAATTAAAGGAGAAATTGAATGTTTGATACACCAAGGTCACTTGAATCACTACTTACAAGAATGAGGTGAGGGGAATCAGAAAAAAATCAGCGGGGTTATCGAATGAGAAGTGCAACTCCAAGTTTTCTTATTTGAGTAAGAAACTGACCTATAAACTCTTAATTTAATTTTAACAAATTTTTTATGTTGTTTTAAACTATCATTTCAATCAAAATTTTCTTATTTTCTCACCAATTTTTTTGTGTAAAAAGTCCCCTTGAGGGCAAGCGGCATACAAGATCTATATCAAGCCCATGGAAGTCTAGCCCAAATGAAAAGACTCATTGGGATGATATGATACCCCTGGAAGTCAAGCCCAAGAGACAAAACTCAATGAGAAAATATCATGACCGTGGAATTCAAGCCCAAGAGACAATATTTGATGAGAAGATACAATATTCCTGAAAGTCGAGCCCAAAAGGCGCGACTCAATGGGAAGCTACTCTACCTCTTGAA